ATTACTAATATTATTATTAGTCAATTAAAAACAATTTAAAAATGTAAAGTCCCGTTAATGCCAAGGATGGGGCCTGGAAGGTAACCTGTTCCCCCACTTCCCTGGGGGTCTGTCTATGTTGCAATTAAACGGATTATTGAGTTCTGAGCCATAGGTGATTTTCTGCCTCAGTCCCCTCCTGTGTCCATCCAGGTAGGTGACATTGTACTGTGGAAACAAATAATCCCAAATCTCAGTAAACCCAAGAAGTGTAACACAGAGCTGCTGGGACCCTCGCTGTGAGATGAACTCACTCAGAGTCCCGGCTGAGAGAGGCTTCATCTCTTTTGTTGCCGAGGTAGGAAGAAGAAATGGGGCAAGTTTTGCACTAACGCTTCATGCTTCTCCTTGGAATCAACACGTGCCATTTGTGCCGACAGGTCCTTGGCCTAGGTGAGTCAGGGGGCCACGCCTAACTTCCAGGGGAGGTGCAGTCCTGTACTGTCTAGAAGGCAAACCAGAAATATTTGGTGAACAGCAGTGCCGACAACCACAGGTGACCACGACAGTAGGGAAGACTGCTCTTCCTAGGAGCTGGGACTGGAGTCACAATCTCCCCTGGGTTCTCTGAAGTATCCTTCACCGACGGGGAACACAAACACTGGGGTCCTGTTAGCATGCAAGGCCGTTTTCCTGAATGATGTGTTTAGTTTCTGTGCTATAAATTTAAGCAGCCAAAATTAGTCACTCTCAGTTCTGTGCTCCCAGAGCACTGTGTCCATAGCTCCGTGACGGATCATGCCACGGTGATTTTGGGGGCACTATAGGACGAGGCAGGAGAGTGGGTTGCCTCGTGGCGTGGGCACTGGAGCCAGCCTGCACTGCCACTTCCTAGTCTGTGATGCTGGCGAGTCGCACAGACTCTCGGTGCCTCAGCGCCTTCCCTGTGAAACGGGGATGATAACAGTACCTACCTTATGGGGTTGTTGTGAGGATGAAACTCGATGTATGTAAAGCACTTCATGTGGTACCTGTTGTATAGTCAATGCCCAGCAAATATTAACTATGCAACCAAACTTCCCAAGATGCCCAATGAAGGACACTTCAGAACAGATAACCTAGGGCTCTTGAGCCCTGCATTCAAAAATCAGAGGGTGAGGCTTATATCAATGTATATTTAAAGCATACACACATGTACGCTTCCCTCCCTCCCTCCTCCCTCCCCCTCTCTCTCTCCCCCCTTCTCCCTCTCTCTCTCTTAAACTCAAGAAGACAGCCACAATCCAATTGAAAAGCAGGCAGAAGATTTGAACAAACACTTTACCAAAGGAGATATGTGAATGGCCATTAAGCACACAAAAAGATGTTCAACATCACTAGTCACGAGGAAATAGGAATTAAAACCACAAACATAACACTTCTGTAGCTCAAGTACATTAAAAAAAGAAATGATTGACAGTATCAAGTGTTGGCAAGAATTGTAACAACTGGGACATTTACGTGCTGCTGGTGGAACTGCAAAAATGGTCTAGCCAGCTTTGTACAATAGTGTGGCAGTGTCTTACAAGGTTAAAAATACCTTTAACGTATGACCCAGCAATTTCTTGCCTCTTGGGATTTACCCAAGAGAAATGAATGCCTGTATCTACACAAAGATCTGTATACAAGTATTCAGAACAGCATTATTCTTAATTCCCCCCCCCCCAGCTGATAACAACCCAAATGTTGTAGCATATTCATGCAGCGGAATGCTACTCAGCTGTAAAAAGGAATGAAGTATTACCGTGTGCAGCAACATGGCTGCATCTCAAAAACTTTGTGCTACATAAAAGTCAAAGGCTACATACTATGTGATTCCATTTACATGAAGTTCTAGAAAAGATGGCACTAAGTTGCCAGGTCAGTGGTTGGCTGTGGCTGGGGCTGGGGCTGGGGTATCCACAATAAAGACACGGGAGAAAACCCGTCAGGGTGAGGGGACGTGTGCACATCGTGTCGTGTATCTTGGTTGTGGTGGTGGTTACACAATGACCCAAATTCCTCCAACTCTATTCTTAAAATGGGTGAATTTTATTCGATGTAAATAGTGCCTTAAAAAAAGAACCCAAAGCCTGCTTGTCGAAGTGTCCTTCGTCCTGTCATCCCAGTGCTCGTGTGTGGTGGTCTCGGGCCTGCCCGGCGTAGGTCCTTGTTGGAAACAAGGTCATTCCAGGCTCATTTTCCCTCTCTGGCCTCATAGCTGCGGAGCCAGATGATGGTGACCGATTTCCAGCGCGCTCCACGGCATGTCCCAGGCAGAGGCTGGCGGAAACAAGCTTGTGTTTTTATCTCTAATGATATGAACCTTCATCGGAGCCTCTGCCAGGCCGTGTTGGTCGTCATTACACCCATTGAAGAAGAGAACAGAGCAATAATGAGCTGGGTGTTATCGGCTCACAAATAATTTATAATGGGCAAACTAGGCCAGGAACAGAGCTTTTTTTGGCTAAGGAGGTTGCATGTCACTCTAAAATCTAGGCCAAAAAATTATTTATAATGCATAGACAGTCACTCAGAAAGTTAAAGGGTTCCTTTCTTCTCTCCATGCGTTTGAACACTTGTGCTTTTTAGGCTGGACCTGCAACAAGACGCCTCAGCATCTTGCGGCCACACCTGCAGTCAGCCTGTGAAGTGAGCGAGGCATGCAAAGAGAGTGGCTCGGCTTTGTAGAAACCCCTTAACCCCAAATCCAAGAGCAGATAGGAAGGAGGGGAAAGTAATTCCACTGCCCTAAGGATAAGGAAAAGTGCCTTTAGAGAAACGGTAGTGACCGCAAACTTTAGGTGAGCTTTAGAGAATTGCTCGAATATTATCAGGAAATAGCCCGGATTGAGACATGTTCAATATAAGATGAGCTGTGAGCAGGTGTGTTGAAATAAAGACAGGAAGTGTGTAATTGGGCAGAGGCATGCAGGGTGGTTACGGCCATCATGGTGTCTAGGGGAAAGGCTGTTGGCTGTGTTTTTATGTTTCCAAGGGCTGCTGGGGGAAACAGAGTCGATATTGACACCTGCCCCCAGGGAGGGGCATCTCCACTCACCAGCACCCTCTGTCCTGACCGCACGTTGGCCGGGAGCCTCCTAATGAGTGATTAGCTCCCCCAGGAACCTGGACCCCCAGGCCCTGGGGTGCCTGGACCAGCAGGCAGACCACGTTTGATGGGCCCTGCCACTGAGGCCCTGTTCTCCCTCAGGGAGCCAACATTCTAGAACAAGTCCATCTTGGGTGAATTTGGAGGAAGAGTGGGTCAGCTCTCCCAGCCCTGGATCTCCTTCAAATTAGCTGATTGTTGGTGAAGGGCTGCAGCGTGTCACCCAATCAAGGCTCCTCGAGCCCTGCTGCCTCCTGGGCTTGCTCAGGGGAGGGCTTTCTGCCGCGTGTGTTCCTCGTTGGGTTGTCTGTTAGGGCAGCCCCTAGAGCTGTGATTCCCTATTCAAGTTCCCAGGGATCCTAGGGTTCCTCACAGAGGCCTTGGTGGCTCGGGGGAGGTCCCCTCCCCTCAAACTGAGCAGCTTCACTTTGGTTGCTTCTATAGGTGTACAGCGTAGGATGTCATTTTAAAAAAAAATAAAATAAATTTTATTTTTTAAAGCAGTTCTAGGCTCACAGCCTAATTGAGAGGAAGATACAGTGATTTTTTTCATATTCCCCCATCACCCCCACCACCTCCCCCACTGTTGACATCCCCCACCAGAAGGGGACATTAGTTACAACTGATGAACCTACATTGACACATCATTATCACCCAGAGTCTGTAGCTAACATTAGGGTTACTGTTGGTGATGCACTTTCTACGAGTTTGGACAAATGTGCAATGACATATATCCACCATGGTGGTGTCATACCGAGTAGTTTTCACTGCCCTAAAAATCCTCTGTGCTCCACCTTTTCATCTTTCCCTAACCCCTGGCAACCACTGATCTTTGGGCTGTCTCCATAGTTTTGCCTCTTCCAGAATGTCATATAGTTGGACTCATACAGTATGTAGCTTTTTCAGACTGGCATGCATCTGTGACTTAGTGATAGGCATTTGAGTTTCCTTCATGTCATTTTTAAAAAGGGTTCAGCTGCTTTTAGCAGCTTGACAGCCACATGCAGCACCTGTCATACGTCAGCCCCGGGTCTGCACAGCTTACAGACTGTTTGTGCAGGGTATACTTGTCTCCCCAACAGGATGGGGAACTCCTTGGGCCAGGGGCCAGGTGTGCCCTGGTGGCACACACAGGACACCTGGCCACCCTTTGTGCTTGGCACCAGGCTGGGTGCTCTGGGATGAGGGGTTGTGGTTTGAGCCTGAGGAACGGCTTTCAGAGTGCAGCAGTTGTAAGAAGTGTGTCACTTGGTCTCTGAAGTCAGAGTGAGCAGCATCTGGCCACAGAGCTAATCTGGGTAGAACGCTGCATCTGAGTCAGAACTTAGTGATTATTAATGCTGTCTCTCTCTGTGGCCAAGAGTCTAGCAAAACATTTTGTTTTTTTTTTCTTTTTGGAAACAGAGTCTCACTCTGTTGCCTGGGCTAGAGTGCCGTGATGTCAGCCTAGCTCACAGCAACCTCACACTCCTGGGCTTAAGCGATCCTCCTGCCTCAGCCTTCCAAGTAGCTGGGACTACAGGCATGCGCCACCATGCCCGGCTAATTTTTTCTATATATTTTTAGTTCTCCAGCTAATTTCTTTCCATTTTTAATAGAGACAGGGTCTCACTCTTGCTCAGGCTGGTCTTGCACTCCTGACCTTGAGCGATCCACCCGCCTCAGCCTCCCAGAGTGCTAGGATTACAGGCATGAGCCACCACGCCCAGCCTAGCAAAACATTTTCTATCTCCATTACTCAGCTCTGAAATGTGTCTAACATTACCTTCCTGAAACACTTTTTGGTAAGATGATCACAATAGAACGTGCTCTATTACAAAGTACTTCCATTTCCAAACAAAGCCTTTATGAAGTGGAATGTTCCAGCAACCTGCGTGTTTTGTGTTTACAGAGCTTCTCGAAACAAGTCTGAGAAGAAGCGTCGGGACCAGTTCAATGTTCTCATCAAAGAGCTCAGCTCCATGCTCCCTGGCAACACTCGGAAAATGGACAAAACCACCGTGTTGGAAAAGGTCATCGGATTTCTGCAGAAACACAATGGTAAGGGTCATGCTCCTCCATGTTAGCTCCACCCTGCCCTTTCCATGTGGCCCCGACGTCATCAGTCGGTCTTCCTGGTTGGTTCTTTCTCCCCGGCAGGCCCAACCCCACAGCCGTAGGCTTCCCCTTTCAAAGGCACCCCCTGTAATAGCCCATCTCCAGCTGGTGGGGAGAAGACACCTCCCAGATTGCTTTATTAACCAGACAAGAGACTCCAGAGCACCTTGCAGGTAACACGCAGCCCGAGAGGGGTGGCATTCACAGTGAGAACGTCTTTGTCAAAAATTCCTGGAGCATGTCTTGCACTCACCCCTGAGCAGATGGAGTGCTCAAGTACTCATTTCCTGCTGGGTCAGACCATAGGAGCTTTTTCGTGGCTCTCTGCCACTGCCTCCAAAACTCTTTGGTCTTCTGAGCCACACTGTGAAAAAAAACTGAAAATAATTCATTTACTTAATGTCAAATCTGTTGTGTTTTTATTAAGATGTAATTTCTATACCACAAAATTCACCATTTTAAATTATAGAGTGCAGTGGTTTTTAGTATGTTTTTACAAGGGTATACAATGATCACCACTAATTTCGTCACTCCAAAAAGAAACCCTTTACCCAGAGGGACACGGTGGCTCATACCTGTAGTCCTAGCTGCTTGGAAGGCTGACATGAGAGGATCACTTGAGCCCAGGAATTTGAGCTTACAGTGAGCTGAACACACCACTGCACTCTAGCTAGGGGGACAGAGCAAGACCCTATCTCAAAAAACAAACCCAGAAACCCTGTACTCATGAGCTGTCACTTGTCTCCCCCCCCCCCCACCCCGACCCCCGGTCCTGACAACCAGTAATCTGTTTTCTGTCTATGGATTTGCCTATTCTGGGCATTTTATACAAACAGAATCATACACTATGTGTTCTTTTGTGTCTGGCTTCTTCACTTAGGCATCTATGTTTTAGCATGTGTTAGCAGTACTGAATTCTATTTTATGGACAAATGACATTCCATTGTATGGATATATACCATATTTTGATTATCCATTTATAAATTGATGAATATTTGGGTTGTTTCTAATTTGGGGCTATTATGAATATTGCTACTTTGAATAGTCATGTACACATTTTTAAGTTGGTACATGTTTTCACTTCTCTTGGGTATATTCCCAAGAGTGGAATTGCTGGATCAAATGGTAACTAAGGTTTAACTTTTTTGACCAAATTCCAAATTGTTTTCCAAAGCTGCTACACCATTTTATATTCTCAGAAGCAGTTTATGAGGGTTCCAGTTTCTCCACACCCTCGACAACACACAACAATAATGACAATGTTATTGTCATTATTATCATGATGATGATGAGGAGGAGGATTGTTGTTGTCCCCCTAGTGAGTGTAAGGACATCTTATATGGCTTTGATTTGCATTTCCCTGGTGACTAATGATGTTGTGTGTTTCATGATCTTTTCTTGTGTTTATTAGCCATTTGTATGTCTTCTGTGGAGAAATGTCCATTCAAATCCATTGCCAATTTTTAAATTGAGTTGTTTATTTATCTTTTTACTCTTCAGTTGTGTTCTTTATATGTTCTGCGTATTAAACCTTTATATAATTTGCAAATATTTCCCTGTATTCCATGGATTATCTTTTTACTTTTTTAATGATGTCCTATGACACATGAAGGTTTTTAATTTTAGCAGATTATGTCCAGCTTATTTTTTTTTCCTTTGATTGCTTATGCTTTAGGTATCATTTCTAAGAAACCATTGCCTAACTCAAAGTAATGAAGACTCATATGTTTTTTTCTAAGAGTTCTATAGTTTTAAACTATAGGTTAAGTATTTAGAGATTTGATCCATTTTGAGTTAGTTTTGTGGATGGTCTGAGGTAGGAAGTCGAAATTCATTCTATTGCATGTGAATATCCAGCTATCCCAGCACTCCATTTTTTTTTTTTTTTTTTTTTTTTTTGAGAAAGAGTCTCGCTCTGTCACCCAGGTAGAGTGTGCAGTGGTGTCATCACAGCTCACAGCAACCTCAAACTCCTGGGCTCAAGCAGTCCTCCTGCCTCAGCCTCCCAAGTAGCTGGGACTGCAGACTTGTGCCACCACACCCAGATAATTTTTCTATTTTTAATAGAGATGGGGTCTCGCTCTTGCTCAGGCTGGTCTCAAACTCCTGAGCTCAAGTGATCTTCCCACCTCTGCCTCCCAGAATGCTAGGATTACAGGTGTGAGCCACCATGCCTGGCCCATTCTTTTTCTTTTCTAACCTTTTAATTTGATAAAAGTAGAACACGTACGGAAAATACACACATCATAACTGTACTATTAAATTAATTATCACAAAATGAATACAGCTGGGGAACCAACACCCAGGTCAAGAAATAAAAATTTTCCCAGTTGATGCACCTTCCTGTCTACCTGTGCTGTCCCCAAAGGTAACCTGTGTTGACTTCCAGCACCATAGGCTGGTTTCACCTGTGGGGACCTCATCAGATGGAATCACTATTATGTGCATGATGTCTGTAAGATCCATCCACATTCTCCTGATGCTGTGGCTAGTTCCTCTTCACCGGTATATAGTATTCCATCCAATGAATGTACCACTCAAATCCATCTTTGAACATGTGTCTTTCTCAGGCCACTCTCTCTCCCTTTTACTCTCCTAAAAGCCCTTTTACCTCTTGGTGCTAATCGTAACTATATCCTGCTAATCACCCAGAATGGTACAAAAATGCAGAGAACATTTAGGAGGGCTGAGGATCTATTCACAAGCAGGAAGAGCAGAATCTTTTCTTTAACCATGACACCAAACATAATAGAGTCAGAAATGTCAGAACTAGTGAGGAAATAATTACAGTTCTCTGCTTAAATGGGGGTGCTTCTCTTCCACTGAACATCTTCCTAGACAGGATGATTTCATGGAAAAGGGTGCGGCTGGAACATCAGAAAGTTCTGTTATACTTCTTATTCTTTTATGATTTCTTTGATAATCGTATATATCTATTAAAAAATGTGACAATAATGATATAGTCTCCTATTTTTTTTTTCCCCAAAGCTGCCCAGGGGAAGAGCAAAGAACATGTTAATTGCTTTTGTTAAAAGTCAGGGAAGACCAATCAGGCAGGATTGGAATAAAGTGTTACAGCAGTATTTGATCGTCCCAATAATTTAATCAGAATGGTTTTATTTCCTAAATAATGATTTAGCCAAGCGAAATAGCAGGTTGGCTTGATTGCCAAGATATTTTGTGCAAATTACTCAAACTAGGTCAGTGCCACTGAGAAGCAGGACAGCTGTTAAGTAGGCCAGCCGGGATCAAGTTCACCAGTGTGACATTTATGCTGGGCTGTGTCCGCTGTGGAATTAACAGAATTGTCAAATCTGGGCCCTGGAAAGGATCGGTCAGCAGAAATGCAGCCTCCAAACACCGGGAGTGCCTGTCTCATCTCGCCTTTTTCATGAGATGAAGGCCTACTCCGCACAACCCGCTCAAACACGACCAGGATCACACCGGGATCTCACTCATCTCTGTGATTCCACATTCCAAAGAAAGCAGCAGTTCCACGGCAGACTTCATGGAGAAACAGAGTGGTTGCTTGGACCAAAATTTGACTTAAAGCAAAAACCAAACAACCCCTTTCCTTTACTTACAATCATAATGGACGTGGACTCTGCAGGCATCTGCAACAAAGTAGAGAATAATGACGGTCACCATTTATTCAGGGCTCACCAGAGCCGGGCACTGTTTTAAGGGCTCTCCTCCTCTAAGCTTCACAGCAGCACTTTGAGTTAGTACCATGGCACAGATGAGACAACCGAGGCAGGCAAGGTTACGTCGCTCACCCAAGTCAGACAGCCAGGTAGATGTGGCATCTGACCCCAGCTACCTGTCTCCAGAGCCCAAGTTTTTAATGCCACACTGTGCTGCTGCTCCTCAAGAGGTGCTTCCTGGGGCTCATAGATATTTATATCATGGCTGCACCGTAGCTGTCTGTGAGTGTATCCAAAAATAGACTGCTGCTTCCCAACCTTGGCTGCCCACTAGAATCACCTGAGGAGCTTTTTGAAAAATACATATAACTGGTTAACACCTCACAGACCAGTGCCTCAGAAAATCTCTAGGGTTGGGACCTCGGTGGTGTGCAGGAACCAGCCTCGTAGCAGCTTGCGAGACAGGGCTGTTAAATTTCCAGGCCTTTCGTAAGCCAGTTGACATCAAGTTGGTAGCTTAGAATCAGCCATGATGAGAATACATACATACCATAGAAATGGGCAGATGCTACAGAGCAGGGCTTTCTGTGGTGGGGGTGGAGAGCCTTTTCCAGGCTGCTAGGTAAGGCCCGGCCATCAGTATGTTTAAAGCTCCCGAGGTGATGCCAGTGTGCAGCCAGGGTTGGGAACTATGGATTTAGACATGCTTCTGCCTTCATGCTAAAAGGGAGACCACATGATAAGGAAGGAAAGATGATCAGGTCCAAGTCGTTGTTATAGTTATTTAGCTCCTTCCTCAATAATCTTCCAAGCATTGTTTCTCAGCTTGGGAAATAAATCTTAATCCTGGGGTTGCATGCTTGTTCTCTTTGAAGTAGTCCAAATCAAAATGAGAATCTGACCGCATGTCTTTGTAGCAAAACTGTGTGTTAACAGTATCTATTATAAGAGAGGAACCTCTAAATTATATAGATAGCAGGGCATATTGAACATCCTTATCTACATCCACCTACATGTTAGTTCTACACGTTATCCTCTTCCTGGGTGAGTCTCAGGCTGGTTTAATGAAATTTTCTCCCAGCATCAAATCCCATTTCTCATTTATGCCTCGTTAATGCATCTGCCTGCGTAGATGGGGAGTGGGGTAGGAAGATTGCTGAACAAGGAGAGATGTCCCTGTTAGACAGGGTGATATTGACCCAGCCCTGCAGTAGTTTCTACCCCCTTTTCCAGACTTTTATTTATTTGACCACATACAGCCCAAAGATGTGCTGCTCCTTGTTCAGACATAACCAGGGTTGAGCACTGTAGGGCACAGCTGCAAGTTATACCAGAGTAGCATTTTGGGGTTTGGCTGGTAATTGCAATAGTTTCCTGCAAATATGGTTCCCAGGTGATTTTTTTTTCCCTTAGAATTTAGAAACCACTTTGACCATCCCCCTTAGCTAATCCTGCCCTGTCACTTGTACCTTACAACATTGATCACATCAAATGCCAGTGGAGACATGATTATAGCACTGCATTTTACTTCCCAGTGTAATAATGTTTTGTCCTCGCTTTGAGACATCTTATCTAACTTATATATATTTTTTCATATGCTCTGAATTGAACCTTAACTTCCAAGGACTATACTTGAATTGTTGAAATACAAAGAGAGTGAAATGGCTGCTTTCAGCATTAGTATGCTGGTATCGAGAAAATATCCAGCCACATGGAAAAATGATCCAAAAATGACTTATGAAAAAAGGCACAGGCCTTTCATTTCCCTTCACCATTAAGTTGAATGGACCTCTATCTAAATGAAATTTGGGCTGCCATAAAGACTCCTCTCCTGGAGAATGAATCCACAGTTTGATCCTAATGGTCAAAAGAATCTTACAGATGAGTGTACTTTGTGGGGAGAAGAAGAGGACGTTAATGGGATTAATGTTAGCACCATCCTTGGTCCATCTGTTTTCTTAGGGGGTCAAACTGTGGCACCATTTGTTTGAAGAGCTAGGAGCTTTCACCCTCTCTCCCTCACCTTGGCCAAGGTGGCAGAACGCTCTCTGGCCAAGATCTGTGCGTGGCGCCCTGCCTGTGCTTCCCATGATGCATTTCACCACATGCATCATGGCACCCAGCACTGTGGAGTGACACCACACGCTGAAGCTCCCTTGGGCTCTCCAGTGAGGTTGCCTGCCTGACTGCTGGCACGGTTTCATCTCCTGGCTTTCTTCCTGTGTTACCAAAAGCTCCTAGCAGCTCTTTTGCGCTCCTTTAAAATCACAAAGACAAGAATCCAATTGTGTAACAGCAACAGCAACTTGTTCTTTCTGACGTCTTGAAGGAAGAAACCTTCCCAGCAGAGAGCTGAGCATTGCCGGGAACATTGGGTCATAGAGTTAGTAAAGTTTACAGATCCACATGTGTGTAACTTAGCTCTTCACATCCTTCATACATGAGTAACCAACCACTGCATTCATTCAGATGGCAGAATTCATTCCCTGTGCTCCATGTAAGAGAAATTACCAAAAACACAGGAGCAAAGGAGAGAGCCTTGAATCTTTCTCCTGGTTTAAAGTTAATAGATTATCTGCCTGAAAAATTTGCATTCTCCAGGAAGGTGTTAAATAGGTTAGTTTTATTTTCTGAGGTATAAGTCTTATATTCTTTCATTTTTCCTAGCACCAAGAAAATAATCCCTGAAGAAATCTCTTACTAACATGAAGTAGAGCAAAATGTTGGTTTTAGATAGAGAATAAACTGAAGGAAAAAGAAATATATTTGATATCGCATTTGAGCTGTCTATGATAACCTTATCAGATAATTTAATAATAGAACAAAACATGCTTTCAAAAGTACAGAAGAACTAGAATATTTAAGAAGTCCTGTGTGCAGGCCAACAACTATTTGAATTTACAAACGTGAATAATGTTTTCGGTACAAGGTGGTTATGTAAGATGGGTAAACTATAGATTAACCCAAAAATGTTTTGCAAAGATTAAGTTCTTGCCTTAAAAGCAACTAAGTAAAATGTGTATTAGTATACCACATAATACTTCAGTAATGGAAATGCTGGAAAATATGGAACATTCAGCATAACACAGTGGGTTATTTACCACAAGCCTAAGATGTTTGTGGCATTTTGAAAATCCCAGGTCTCTGAAGTGTTTTGCTTCACCTCAACTGTGACAAAGCAGCTTATGAAGTGTCCCACAATCCCAGTCTTTGTTCCTGTTGCCTTGCTAGGTGGTAGCTACCTAATGCCAACCGCTGACGACGGGGTTTGTGATGTAGAAATTCGAGGGCATTGTGCCACCTGCAAGTGGCAGGCACTACACCCATGCAGAGGGTGGGGTGCTGTCTTCCCCAAAGCCTCATTAAAAGGGTGTGAGAACATTAGAAGCATTAGTCCATGAAACCCAAAGTTCCCAGTCCTTGGAAAATCAGGATGACATGTTTCTTAAATTCAGCTGCACAGACAGTAACACAAAATTACAGAGAAGTTACATGTGCTTCATCTATTAATCCCAATTTCTAGGTGCCATGGGACTATAAAATCTTATTTGTGTCCTTATTTTTTTTTTAGAAGTCTCAGCACAAACGGAAATCTGTGACATTCAGCAAGACTGGAAGCCTTCATTCCTCAGTAATGAAGAATTCACCCAGCTGATGTTGGAGGTGAAATATACTCTCAAATTCGCTTAATGAGTTGCCAATTAAAATGTAGCTGCTTGTTCCAGATAAGTCCCTGTGCCCAAAGGAAACAACTGTTCTTGACCCTGGAAAGACTTGGTCCTCAGATGCCCTCCTGCAGCGCTGCCTGCTGTCACTTACATTGTGGCTACTGAGTAGGGCAACGTACACAAGAATCCCAGAATTGAATGTGGCCGTGAGATATCGCCATGGTGACTGCAGGCAGCTCGACCCCCTCAGGGTCCCACAACCAAAGGACACCTAGCCTGGGGAGCTGGAAGGAGGGTGCAGGTTGGAGATAGAGAGAGGGGAAAGAGGGAAGGGAAGTTACGTCAGCCTGCACTGGGATTTGACGCAGAGAGGCTTCTCTTTAGAATGCAATGATTATATTTTTTTCCCTTAGTAGGAACACATTTTGAAAATAAGAGCCTTCTTTTAAAGTTATGCTTTTACCTTCAGCTCATATTACATCAACATGGCATGTGGCTGTCAACCCTGCTAGTGGCCCTGTGCCTCCTGGCCAGCCCATGTCCTTTCTATGCCGAGATGCTCTGGTTTCTCCCTCTGGGTTAGGTGCCCACATTTGTCTGCAGGGCTGTAGGGTTTGTGAAAACCTGGCTGATCTGAACGAGCGGGCCTTCCTCAACATGGTGTATCTATCTATGGGTGGAATTCCTCTGTACAGATGAGGATAAGTCTCCACAGAACATCTGGAGAGGTGCTCTGACTTCTAACCTGCAGATAAGGCTGGGGGTGTATGGTTATGGCAATGGGGCAGAGGAGCTGGGCCCTTGACCAGAAAGAGGTGAACTAGGACAGCCCAGTTCAGCAAAAGGAAGTTAGACGCTGGCCGTGGGCCAGTGGTTCCTGGCAGGGAGTTCAGAGAGTGGCTTCTTGGGCTAAATCTTTCTCTATCTCATTTTATGTGCCTATATAAGAGTGATGTAAACTTCAATTTACATAGATTAACTATGCGGAAAAACAGAAAGTACTGGAGTAAGAAAATGCCAGAATGAAGATGTCCAAATATTATGAAATATAAACGCATTAATGAACATTTGCATAAGATGAAAGATACTTAAATCTACATGTGAACTATATTTAAAGAAAATACAGAACTTTCTGCAGAAGCAATGCATTTTTAAGTATGTTAAATTTAAAGCAGCTAGTGAAATATGATGTTGAATTAATGCATCATTATGCTACTTTACATAAATCAATTTATCTTTTAATTCTTATGGAAAAGTAGTTAAAACACATAACCCTATAGCATCAGCCTTTTTGTAAGAACCTGTAGCACAATGCTTCCCCCCCCCCTAGTGAGTTTCAAAGTATCAAAAGTACTGGGGGAAATAAGGCTTTTATAAAGTTAAAAATGGGTACATTTGGGGGCTGGAAGGCAGGACTAAGATTTAGGAGACTGGAATTTCTAGCCTTTTAGATTTGCACGGATGGTCTTTATTCCCTTTCCTCTGCTCCAGTGTAGTCTCCGTGAAGCAGACGAAAAGGAAGTCCTGCTAGATGAATGGATTGGATCTGAAATCAGGCCTCACAAGCAGCAGCCTTCTGAGTGTGCCACAGCTCTGAGTAGCCTGGGAAGCCCACCAGCTAGTACTTCTGGTGTATCTCTGACTATGTTCGGCTCCTCTCCCAGCCTGCTGCTTTCCAGCAGACACTCACTGGGGTGGAGCAGCTGGAGCTCCTCGAGGTCCCCCTCTCTGATGGCCTGGAGATGTCATCGTTGCCCATGGTGCAGCTTCTCCATGGTGTGGTTCCCCATCCAACTGCACATCCCTGTCCTGTTTGCATAGCCATCTCAGACTACACAAGGAATCCAGGGACCATGTCTTAGTGGCCAGGATGTTCCCTCTTTTAAATAATGACAGAGCCCAGGAGAGAACCCACCACGCCCCCCAGGGAACTGCCAGTGCCCTCTGCGTGGGATCCCTCCCTCCCGCCCCTTCTCTCACAAAGGCCAAAACCAGACTGCAGGACGACTCACACAGCTGTGACCTTTCAAAAAGCAATCAGTGACCTGATTGCAGGCCTCACTGTGGCTGTAAGCATTTCAACAAGTGGACTCAAAAAGGAGGGAGAGCTCGTGTTGACTGGGGGTTAGGAAGTTTGTGGAATTTCTGAATTTTATCCAGAAAAGCTACAGCAGTCTTTTAGCCCAGAGGTTGTCCCAGAGAACACAAGAAATGTTCCATCAGATTCAGGAACTGGCAGATAAAAAGAGGAGGTTTCATGTCCCTCTGCTGTGTGGCAGGTATAAAATTCTGGACCATTATGACACCTTTGGAAACATCGCTGTCGAAATTACCTTTCTGTGGATAGGTGCACATCACTTTGCAGTCCCTTGCTCTGGGATCACTCTCCAGTGCTGCTGGTGGGACTTCCAAAACCGCAGCGAGCTTCCTTAAAGCAGTGACTCACTGCAGTTCTTGTACGTTTGATGGAAATGCCAATGAGCTGATGAAAGTTATCTTCCGTCTATAAATACTTCAGCTCTTTAACACCCACTCGCTTCACTTTACAAATTCAAGAGGGGCATGGCTCACTGTGCAGGAAAGGCTATTTGTACCATTCCTGTTTTTCCCAGCCTTCCAGTCTGCTTTTTCCAGAAAGGTCCAGGTGACGTCATCAACAGTGCCCTCACCCCTTAAAAAAATTCACTTCAGGCCAGGCGTGGTGGCTCACGCCTGTAATCCTAGATCTCTGGGAGGCCGAGGCGTGCAGATCGTTTTGAGTACAGAGGTTCAAAACCAACCTGAGCAAGAGCAAGACCCCATCTCTACTATAAATAGAAAGAAATTAATTGGCCAACTAACATATATATAGAAAAAATTAGCCGGGCATGGTGACACATGCCTGTAGTCCCAGCTACTCGGGAGGCTGAGGCAGCAGGATCGCTTCAGCCTATGAGTTTGAGGTTGCTGTGAGCTAGGCTGACACCATGGCACTTACTCTAGCCCAGGCAACAAAGTCAGACTCTTGTCTCAAAAAAAAAAAAAAAAAAAAAAATTTGCTTCCAGGAGGGCTACAGAGATGATTTAAAAAACGATTTAGAAATATGTTTGGATGGGAAAGAAGTAAAAGTTACTGGGATATGCTCCTTTGTTCACTATAACATTTTAATCTAACCCAGAATTTCTCAACCTTGCTCTGTTGACATTTGGGACCTGGTACCTCTTTGTGGTGGGGGCTGCCCTGTGCATTTTGGGATGTTTCACAGCATCCCTGGCCTCCACCCACTAGATGCCAGCACCATCCACTCCAGTAGTGACAGCAAAAATGTTTCCAGACATTGCCAAAATTGTCCCCAATTGAGAACCACTTATGTAATCCAAAAGGATGAGGTTCTATTTAAGAAATGTGCTGTAATAGATTTTTCAGCCTGAAATCCTGCCATACATAAGTGTAAAATAATAAATGAGCCTAGTGTTAATTTTCCTGGTGAAAAGAACTCTTTTGCACTTTGGCATGTTATAAAGGTGCCCTTCACACACAGTTAGTGGCCTCTTTCCGGTTCCTGCTGCCATGCATGTGGCCACACACTCCCAACTTGAAGGATAAATGCCCTTTTGGAAGGGTACATTCTCAGTAACACCCTGGCAGGAGCTGCTTGAGTGCATATATAAAAGGTTTCCAGAACCTTCTAAGCACATATTTCACCTTTTTTTTTCCCCCAAAAGCAGAAAAATTCCCAGCTTTGGAGAAGATAGTATTTTAAAGATACAGTCAGTAAAACGACAAGTTTGCAGTGAAAGTCCAGCAGAGCTTATTATTCAATGACTTGTTTTCTGCTGAGGCAGGCTTCATTTTTATTCTTCTCCATCTCATCGGTGCACCCCAGATAGCCAGTTGCCAGGATGACCCCATTCTCTGCTGAATTATGTAGTCTGAATTTTAGAAATCAATTTCAGATGCATCTTACGAAAGCATCACAAGCATCCACATAAAAATAAATCTCAGTAAGGAGTCTAAAAACAGCCAAAGGATTTGCTTCATAAGAAAACATTGCCCACCTAAAGCTTGTTATATCTCCAGCACCCAGGACAGTGTGCCTAGCATACAGTAGGCACTCAGCAGATACCTTCAAATGAATGAATTTTTCAGACATTCTGAAATGCTTATGGATCCAGTCGAGTTATGCAACCCCCCCACACCCACTCAGCCCTGTGGAATAATGTGAATGTTCTTTACAAACAGTTCCTTCAATCAGTATTTCTCCTGTGGCAATGAATGTAGGCAGAGGACTGCCTTGGCCGGCAAGCACTCTTTCTGTTTTTAATGCCTCTGTTAGCTCTGCTATCTTTTGTTAACTGTTTACCATGGACTCAAAGTGCTATCAAGAGTAGGGGCAATGGGGACCATAAAATATTGCTAATGGTTTTCAATGGTTATAGTGGTCTTTCTAATTCAGCACAATAGTGTGCTTATCATTAAACCTCCTTAGGGAATTTCCATGGCTAAATTTCATTTTATGTTACCAATAGGTCAATTTTCACTGTGCCTGTGGTGCTTTTGCAAACACTTTTCCTGGGCTAAACACATTCTCTGCAGGAAACCATCTTCTGTGTAGGGCAGAAAAGCGCTGGGAGGTTATCCATGGAAATATTCCGAGGATTACAAAACAAAGCCAGTGTCATAAAATATCATCCTTTATTTCGGTAACACGCTCCTCCATGAAAGCATTGCTAAGGAGCTTTCAAATGTTGCGTTTTCCACAGGCATTAGATGGCTTCATTATCGCAGTGACAACAGACGGCAGCATCATCTATGTTTCTGACAGTATCACGCCTCTCCTTGGGCATTTACCGGTGAGTGTCTGCTCCGATGGCCATGCCGGTACATGTTATCATCTTTTTGTTGAGAATCATTTAGATCTCAGATCAGAGGTGCAGGTGTTCAGGGCTGTGTGTGACAAGGGGATCCGTGGAGAGGATAGGACCAGGCCGAGGTCAGGGCCCCAGGGGCAGGTGAAGGGCAGGGGCAGGTATGTGTCATGCTGGAATAGGCGAGGCACTGTGATCTCAGCAAGGCCAGGCCTGGACTAGGGGACGTGGGTACAGGTTCTTATCCCCCGTCAGAAACGGGGACAGACAAGAGTCACAGCACAGTTGACAGAGCTCAGAGCTTTCACAGAGGCTGATAAATGTCCTGGGTCAACTGAGAGCTGATCAAGGAATGGGCACTAGATGACTCTGGTTGGGACGTGGTTTGGGACCCACTGGGGACATCCCTGAGATTGCAAGTAGGTTGTGGCAATGATGGTAATGGGGGGTTGAAATGCTCCGGGAAGACATGGTAGGGCCGATGTCTTTGAAGGCTGCAGGGAGTGAGGCGGGCCTGGGAAGGCTGGGGGGACAGGGTCAGCTCTGCTGTCCAGGGCTGTGCAGCAGAGGCTTGGAGGCAGGGTAGCTGCCGCATCCTCGTAGACCCTGACACGTGTCCCTCCCCACACACTAACTCTTCCTTCCTTCCTTCTTCCTTCATTCTCCCGCCTTCTCTCTGCATAAGCCTTGCTGGCTCTCTGATAAGCCCCGGCTCAGGGTGAAGTGACTCACAGGCCTGCACCTGGCCAGTGGAGGAGCCACCTTTGAGGCTCCCTCACGGGCCAGGCTTCCCTTTCTTGCCCCACCATTGTGCATTCCTGCAGAATGTGACCTTGGATGACAGCTGCATCCAGCCAGCACATGTGACAGATAGTGGCAAAGTGTCCTCTCTTCTCTAGCCTCTCAACAAGTCCAGCCAAACCCTCTGCCACTACTCGCCACCCCTGCGCATCGGTGGATGGATAGCCAGTTTACGCGACAAGGTCACATCTTGGTCCAGGATGTCGCTAGAGGACCGTGGTTCCTCTCCTTAGCTGCACCTGCCCAGGGAGCAGGGTGGCCTTGCTCCGAGGGTAGCTTCCGTCTGCCTTGGGGTGATGTGTGCTGATGGCCCGGGGCTGCACATCGTCCTGAGTCACACTTTTCTTCGGAAGCCACCCCTCATCCCATCATTTCTGCAAATAACACTCGCAGCAGCCTCCCACATTTTCCTTTGTGTTCACTGTGTCATAGCCCAGAAAAGCATCTGTGACTTCGCTAGGCAGGTGCCTTTCCAGTACACCATAATAGAACCCTATCTGTCTCACCTTTGTGTCCCAGCCCCTTTCCTGAAACCGGGGTGTGCCAGGTTTGGGGGGTCCCTCTCCTCTTGATTGCCATGGGCTCATTCTTGCCTCACCTGGAAGAGGCTGAGGGTGTGACTGTGCCTTGATGTTAGTCTCGGGCCAGGAGGATGGTGAGGAGGCTGATGAGCCCCTCATCAGCCCAGTGTCCCTAGGCTGATCCGAGGGTGGCTGAGGACAGAGAGGAGAGGGGGTACTTCTCTGGAGGGAGCTTGTGTTTGTATTGAATGCAAAGGGCCCAACAGCAATCGGCACTGACCAGAAGAGACCACACGTGGCCTGCTTGATGGCCTGGGAGCCGGAGCTGTTTGGGTAAACAGGATTTGCGCTGTGCTTTGTGCTCTTGTAATTATCTGATGACCCAGTTGCTGTACATGGCAGACGGGACTTAGAAAGTAAGAGGGGAATTCTTCTGACTTGAAATCATGGAGCAATTTCAGACCACATTTTAAATTATTTTCTAACTCTGAAAGGGCCAGAAATGACCCCGATTCTAATTTATCAACACTAGACCCGTTTGAATGCTTATTAAGGTATCTATATGTAGACCCACGCCCGTGATAGGCAGTCCCCAAATTGAACTGAAATTTACTTTTAAGCTTTCATTACCCAGTTTTTAGCAGAATGGTCCTTTGCAAGTGGGTGGGCAAGCATGGCTGAGGATGGAAACTTCCTGGTGCAGCCAGCAGACAGCGGGGTGAGCAGAGCAGACAGTCTGGGAGGCGCAGCCTTCTGTTACTTCCACTTTACCGCAAGAAAGCCCAGGGCCCAGCCAGCGGGAGACGGAGCAGGGCTTAACTGGCTGTGGAACCCAGCCTGGCCACCACACCGCTCTGCTGCCTTTCTGGTGCCAAAGATTTGGGTCATCATTTAGGAATTCTGCTTTTGCTCCAGTTCACTTGGATTTTTACTCATTCCTCGCAGGAGCCCAGGTTTTGTCCACAGATGATGCAGCATTTCAAAAGGCCCTTGTGAGGCTGTCTTTCCGTCAGGGTTTGCAATTTTGTTGAGAGATGTCCCCTATTAAACTACGAACCACTGGCAGTCACTGAACACTTACTATGTCCTAGGCACCATTAAGAGTCGCTTACGTGCGAGGGCTGTATCACGTTTGCTCTCCTTTCCTTATCAAGGCTACGAAGTACCTTGAACTAGGTACCCCAGTTCACAGGTGACAAAACCAGGGCACAGAGGGGGTTCCACAGCCAGCCAGTGCAGAGCTGGGATTGGCACTCAGGAACTTTGGTTGCAGAGCTTGGTGCTTTATCTCTACTCAGGATTCCATACAGGACAAAGTGCAGTTGAATGTTCTCAGGGTGTGGTGGTCAGGAAGGGAGAGAATGAAAGGCAGTGCCCAGTCTTCCTGGAAGAGGTGGCCATTGAGGGGAGGCATGGCCAGGCAGGACCCAGGGGACAAGAGTCCATGGGCGCCAGCAGGGGCACCCCTGCTGGTGTCACACCTAGTATAGACTGGCATGCCAGGGGTCCGGTCCCTTGGTCCCTCGTGTGGCTGGGGCTTGGAGGCCCATGGGTGATGGGAGGATGAGAGCAGCCAGAATCCCTTCCCACTCCTCAGACTGTTGGGCTTAGAGTCTCTCTCTGTTTCCTTCACACTACCAGCATCTCAGACGTGACAGAAGCTCGCGTGATAGATTTTTGTACAGCAATTTCCTGATGAAACATCCTAGAACTTTCTTTACCAGTTTGGCAGAGAAAAGAGAGAAGAAAATAGCTCAAAACAGAAAGTGATTTTAAGATAAAGTCAAGACTTTTCAGTTAGTTGGTGACACCAGCACATTGTGACCTTCCTCGGCGTCTAGAACAAACATAGGCAGTCAAAGAAGAAACGTGAGCAAGGTGAGGGGAGCAAGGGCTAGCGGGAGCTTCTGGAATAAAACCCCTTCAGGAGAGACCCAAGGGGAGTGGGTCTCACCGTGGACAGAATTGGGAAGGAGTATATGGCTGAGCAGAACCAAATGAGAGACCAAAGTAGCCATACTCAGTGTTTCCTGTTTGGACTTTTGTTTGGTTTCCTTAAGGTTACCTTCCTGGATTAATTTTCTAATTTGTTGATAAATGTGACATTTGCCCAGTGAGCTGCAACCCTGATAAGCTCTTAAAGCAGACATCATATCTCAGTTCCGAGCATGACACCACGTGCCTAAATGTTCACTGAACGAGGGACTAAATTCATCAACAGGGCTGCTATATTGAGAGCAACTGCAAACAGCTTGGCAGGGTGGGGAGTGTCTCAGAAGGAGAAATATGGGCATGGATAGATAACCCAACTTCCCCAAAAGAAAATGATCTAAGGCACAAGTGTTCATAAAATTGGAGAAGTCTACAGGCAAAAAAAAAATTCCATTTTATGCTGGTTCTCCAGGAAAAAGCTGAGAAGAAAGTGAGAAGAAAGTATAAAATCAGGTTGGGCTATAGGGTCAAGCTGCCGAGGCAGGGGGCACAGCAGAGAGAATGGGTCACAGAAAAGACAAGACTGAGCCCCTGTTTTATGCCACCATGAAACGTGGCAGCAAGGCCAAGGCCCTGAGACATACTTTTCCAGAAACATCCACCCTGTTCTCACCTGCTGGCAGAGCCCACTTGATCCAGGCCATTTTTTTGTCAGAGTGGGCTCTGGGTCAGGGCAGGGCCCCGACAGGTGTGGCCGCAGCTGGGGGTTTTTATATACAGATGTGCATATAAAGCATATGTTCAGTGTTTAAATTAACAATGGAGCATGAACACACGTGTAGCCGTCACTGAGGATAAGAAATAGCACGTGGCTGGGACCACGGGAGCTCCCGTCCACTCCTTTCTCTTCATGCCCCTGCCGTCTGCCTAGAGACAACCGTTTTCCTGACTTTTAAGATCATAGTTTGCTTGTTTTTCTTTGGGATTTTTACCCCAACTTTGAATTCACCACTAAACTACAATTTCGTGTCACAATTTTGTTTAACTTTATGGAAATGGCATCGTAGAAAAGGGACACTTGTGATTTACTTCTCCTTTGGTTCAGCATTGTTTGTGAGAGCATCCCCCTCACCCTGCCAGGTGCCAGGTGCCAGGTGTCAGGTGTCGCTGCCATGGGCGCATTCTCACTGCCGGGTAGTATTCCACCGTGGGAATGTGCTGTCATTCCTGCATCCATCCCAGTTGGGAACTCTTGGCAAGTGCTTCTGTGAATACCCCACAGTGTTCCTCATGACGGAGCACTGAGCAGGTGTAGAGCTGCTGGGTCAAGGGGAGGGTACGCCTTCACCTTGCCTGGATGCCACCAGCCTGCTCCCACGGTGGCGGTGCCCATTTACCCTCCACCAGCTGAGTAGAGAGTGCAAGGGGCTGTGTCGTTGGAACTTGGTATCGTCAGACTCCTGGTTTCTGTCAGTGCGGCATTATGAAGGTGTCTCACGGAGTTCTGATTTGCTTTTCTCCCAGTGACTCATGATACCGAGTGTCTGTTCGTATGTTTGTCAGCCATTTAGATCTCCTCTCTTGTGAAACGTGCCTGTTTAGGTACGTTGACACCCTCCTATGGGGTTGTCTGGGACTTTTTTCTCGTGGCGATTAGTAGGCGTTCTTTCCGTGAGCCCGTCGCCAGTCGTCTGGCAGGTATGGTTTTAATCGCCTTATTCTCCCCACCCCAGGTTCGTGGGGGTGTCGAACACTCAGCACCCAGCACTGGACAGGTGAGATCAACAACGGTTCATTAGTCACATACACTCACAGCCCAGCGGGGAGGATGCCGCACAGCACACGGGGCCGCACCGGGGCTGCCTTGGGAACGGAGTAAGCCACAGGGGCTACAGGGGGCAGGCTCAGTGGTATCAGAGGGTGGGGAGCAGGTGATGGGCTTGTTGGAATAATTCCACAGGCAGGAACTCGCTACTCGGGGGTGAGTGGGAACTGTGGCTGGTCCCCCTGATAAGGAGGGTCATTTGGCTGGGGGACTTATCCACGGGGCTGTCTGGGGTGGGAACTTGCAGCCAGGACTTTGGGGTCCCTCCCGATTTCTCCAGATGCCAACCCAGGCAGCACATAACTTAGACCCCTATTGTTAGGCCTTTCACTGCAGGTAAATGTGTTGCAAATATCTCTTCTCACTTTGTGGCTTACTTTCCCCCTCCCCTTAGGGCGTGTTGATGAACAGAGAGATTCTTTCTGTATAGCTGGCACTTTTTATATCTTAATTAATTCTTCACCATTCCAAAGTCAAAGCTGTTCTCTATACCGCCTTCTGAAAGCTTTGCCGTGCGGCCGTCAGTTTGATTTGAATCTAAGCGGAATCTTCCTGGTCCTTTAGGGAGACCAAGGCCCTGACGACCTTCCCGAGCCCATTCTTTTCTCTCCGTAAAGTAAGGCTTCTCCAGGGATTCTCTCCACTGTCCCTTCTAGCTGGGACCACACAGATCTCCAGCCAGAAGTGCCGGGACATCGTGGGCCTCAGTGTCCACCCAGCCCACTTCCAGCTCAGCCAGATGGGCACGTGCCTTTAGTCCAGGCTCACTTAGCTTCTCTGGGTGCGATTGAACTGATGCCACTGGTTCCGAGGAGGGAGGAACATGCCTTCCCATGTCCCATGGCAGTTTCAGATGATCCCTAGTGTCTCGGCTCCGCAGGAGAAACGTGGGGAGGTGCAATTTGGAATCAAGGACAGGCATTTGCAGTGACACTCAGAACAGGGCCAGCGCCCTGAGAAAGCAGCCGATACCCCATCAGTTGGCTGGGGAGAGAGAACCTCCCACCTCCGACAGGTGAGTGACGTTCCTGGTGATGTGGCTCAGCTGTGAAGATGGCCGTAGATGGCAAGGGTCCCTCCCTTGCCTCCGTAATTGCTATTATTTTAATAAACAGCTCAGCTCATTCAAGGGACAGCTCAACTGCAGATGTACTCTTCTCTCCCGCAAGCATAAGGGTTTAAATTTTCAAATTATCATAATTCCTGTCGGTTTTCAACACATGGAAACGGCGTAACAGTAATGTGCTGGCGCATACCTACGAGAGCCCAGGGCAGTCTTGAGCCCCCTGGTGCACTCACTCATCATCCTCACAACCTCCCACATATTGTACCTACGTCTCCCCACCTCCGGCCAGTGCCCATCTTTACTCTCTGCAGGGCCTGCAGCTTGAGGCGCCCCCACAGCCCCAAGGCTCTCCCACGCCAGCGACCAGGCCAGCCGTGCCCTCTGCCACGCCCACCGTTCGGGAGGTGGCTTCACACAGAGCCCTCCAAGAAAACACACAGAGTGACTTGAGTTATCATTTTCAAGGATCTGAAATATCTCTAAGAAGAAAGAGTACTGTCATCTGTGAACATTAGTCATCTTCTTAAAAAACTAGAGGGAATGGGCTTAAAATAAAATCAAGAACATCAGAAGACACTTGGAGAAAGCCGGCATGAGAAATGCTCACATAGGCTGGTGAGGGTGTTGGTTGAGTTTTCGTCCAGAAAGATAAAGACTGGTGCATCCAAGCCAGGGCCCGGGAGTCCTGCTGAGCCCTTCCTTTCTCTCCTCGTGTCCTGCGTTCGGCCACCAAGCTGTGTCCAGCACCCTCAGCGCCACCCTCCCCAGCACGCCAACTGCAGGAGGGGAAGGCGCTGCGGCTCTGCTGAGCTGCTTCCCAGCAGTCATAGCAGCCAGCACATAGCGGCCCTCCATGAGTGCTGTACCACGTTGCCGAGGAATTGCTCTGGGCTCTGTCTACCCCTCTCCATCCCTGTCCCCTGTCTCAGGAAGGTTGTCAGGGCCTTGGTCTCCCTAAAGGACCAGAGACTCTATCCAGCTCTAGCATGGCTTCTGTGCTCCCTCCTTCAGACCATAATAGGAGCTCTTTAAAATACAGGCACAGCCCAGCCCCTCCTGTTCTTAAGGACCCTGGGGGCTCTTCCAGGCACACAGGATGCAGCGCTAACTCCTTTGAAGTCTTCATGATCTGGACCCCATGTCCCTTTGCAGCCTTCTCTCCCAGGACCTCTCGCCCTCCCAGTCCCTGCCTGCAGTGCTGTCACGGCCCCACCCGCTCACCTTCATGTGTGCTGTGTCCTGCCTGGAGCTCCTGCCCACCTTGGCTGCCTGGCACACACCACCTTGTCCCCAGATTCCCACTCAGGGTTTCCTCCCTCTGGGAATCGTTCCCTGGGAGAAGCCTCTACTGCATCGTTTTGGAGTCAGCACCTCAGTGCTCTCTGGGCACCTGTGTTAGCTTCTCTCATAGTGCTGGCCAAGCCATTCTGGATGTCAGGGGCAATGCCTGGGACAAGGCAGTCCCCCTGGAGCAGTCCCCCTGCTCTCCTGCAGCCCCTGTTGCAGTGTGGGAGGCAGAGTGCATGAGTCAGCTCATAAGTGAGCGAGGAAACTACATGGCTGCCATGTGTTGCCTTTGTAGTCATTCCATAAATGGTCGTCCAATTCCTCATCACACCTAGCATTGATTGACTGTCTGCCACATGCTATGAAATGAGCTCCTTTAACCCTCACAACTTCCTCACTGGGCAGCTGAGAAACCGCTGCTTGGCTGGAGCAGAGCCTGCTGTCTACCTGGGCCCTGCAGCTCACCTGCTGGGCCCTGGGGCTCACCTGCCTGCCCCTGAGGCCACAGGCTGACGGCCCAGCAGGGGGACTGTTAAATCAGCAGTGGGGGCGGGGTGTTGCTTGGTGCTTTCTCAGAGGAAGCAGACTGCAAATCAGGAGCCTGAAGGATGCACAGGGGTTAGTTGAACAAGAGGGGAGTGTGCAGAATGTTCCAGCCTGACAGAACCACCCAGGTGAAGACCCACAGGGAGGAGCAAACCTGGCAAACTGGAGGAAAGAAAGTTCAGAAGGGTTACAGAAGTGCTGGGAGCAGAGGGGAGGTGGGGGCCAGGTGTGCGGAGGCTTTAAAGTGTGTTGAGAAGTTTAGGCGTTGTTCCTGGAGCAGCCAGAAGCCAAGGGACAGGTGTAAGCAAGGTGTGACTTGATCTGATATGAGGCTGTGCCTGGCTGCTCGTAGAGAACAAATGGCACAGGGACCAGAGCTGATAGTGGCAGCCAGTTTGGCCAAACCATTCCCCAGGCCAGAGAGAGGCCGGTGGCCTAGACTAGGGTAGACGCTGGAGCAACGGCAATGAACGGAGTGGAGAGAATCCGAGAAGGGAGAGACAGGCAGCACTTGGATGTTGTTTGGGTGCGGAGGGAGGTGAGGGGCCAAGGATGCCACCTGTGTCTGTTGTAGGCAGGTGACCCATTGGCAATACCATCTATGGAGGTAAGAACACAAGGGCTGGAGGCGGCATGGCGGGATAGAATGCTGACCTTGGGGAAGGGTGTGCATCTGTGCCCCCCAGGGGGCATCTGAGTGGCAATTGCAAGGTTGAGTCTGGAGAGAGAGTTGGCTGGAAATGCCAACTGAAGAGTGTGTGTACAGATCGTGTTCAAAGCCATGGGGGTGGGTGAGTCTATTGAGGGAAACTGAGGAAGAGAAAGGCCTGTCTCCTCTCTCCACCGTGAGCTCCTGCCTGCACTGTTCAGGATGGTAGCCACTAGCCACAGGTGGCTATTTAAATTTCAATTAAAATTACATTAAAAGTTATTCAGTTCCTCATTCCCATTAGCCAGGTTTCAAGTGTTCAGGTGCCATGTGGCCAGTGGCTGCAGTGATGGACAGTGCGGATTCTAGGCCATTTCCGTCATCACAGCCGTCTCCACTCTACCTTAAGTTTATTTTGTATCCACGGTGCCCAGGTACTCAGAAAAAAAGTGCAACTCCGTCCATTAGAGGCCTTTAAGAATTAGACAGGTGGCCCTCTGCTGGCCTAACGGTCGGGAAAGGACCCGTGCACTCTTCCGGGCCAGAGTGTAGGACGTTGCCGTGTCAGGCTCCTGCAGTGTTTGTCTGACTTAACTCTTAGCCCTTTCCTGGGCCCATGCACAAGAGCACATATGCATTTGGGCAAGTGAAACCATATAGATGACAGATCAAGATTACAGAGTGACAAATTGAGAATCTTTACAGAAAATCAGCTCAGAACTTCCTATTTCAGAAACCAGCTCTGAGTTGTCATGAACGTTCGGTTTTGGCTTTTGCGTTTGTTGTTTTTCCTCTTCGTTGAGGGTGTGTACCTTTGTTCTTTATTATCTTTTTCAGTCAGATGTCATGGATCAGAATTTGTTAAATTTCCTTCCAGAACAAGAACATTCAGAAGTTTATAAAATGCTTTCTTCCCACATGCTTGTGTCGGATTCCCCCTCCCCTGAATACTTAAAATGTAAGTGTGACTTGACTTAAAGATGAGAATTTTGCTTTTGAAAGGAGGTTAGAATGAATTAAGAAGGGAGAACTAATTTTAAGAATAATTTTCCTCATGACTCAGAACATTTCCAAGATCCTTTAGAGGTATATTTTAAGTTTAAAGCTAAAACTGGAATTTGGAATATGTAAGACATTTAGCTTTTATGTGCAAAATTTGAAAGCACAGAGCTTGGGAATAATAATTTGTTTTACGTGTATGACAAGAGATTCTTTTTACATAAGAGTCTTTTAATAATAAATAGCGCAAAAATCAGTGAATGATCTGCTTATTTTGGAGGACATTATAATGCTAAATTTATATAGTATCAAAAAATTAACTGAAAACTGAATAACTAGATCAAAAATCCAAAGTCCATCCTCCTCCTTGAGGCTGCCATCTGGTTATTTATATACATTTGTACTTTTTATGGAATTTTACATTTTTTATCAAAATATTTGGCAACCTGGATAGAAGGCTGGCCTTGGTGCCCACTGAACCATGTGTCCCTTAATGAAATGGCGTATGCAGTCGTGTGAGGTAGCAAAGATGCTTGCGTTTGTTCAAGCCTTAGTCCATTTTCCATGAATAATTTGTCCTGTCGTACATCTGATTTTACTTTAAAGCAAAGCAAAAAAGATTAAAGGGAGCAGCTCTATACGAGCAGCTTTATTTTAATATACCGTATGAAAACAACCGGAACTAATCAATGCCGACATCACCAACCACAGACATCTGTGAGCAAATTAAGACTAATTGGGTCCAAGTATGGAATGCAAACTATCTATGAACGATGGCAAGAAAGCCCCGTGCTGGAAAGGTTAGAAACCGGGTCTAAAAGTCAGTGGTAATGAGAGAACCAGCCCGGCCATGTGTAGACGAAATCCCACAAGAGTCTTCACTACGACGCTACTTGTTTAGTCTAGAGTCTGTGCCATGCTCATGTTTCCCTCTCTCTCCTCTTCTTCCTTTAACGGCCCAGCTGACAACGATTTAGAGTTTTATTGCCATCTTCTCAGAGGCAGCTTGAACCCAAAGGAATTTCCAACTTATGAATACATAAAATTTGTAGGAAATTTTCGCTGTTACAACAATGGTAAGTTTTAATTGTCGTATAATGGCGACAGTGTCTTTTATCATGCAAACGTACACATGGGGGCATAAGCATCACCGAGGGAGGAGGGAGGAGATTGCGAGCTCTTCGTGTTTGCATTTGGGTTTTAAGCTGTTCCCAAGACGTGTTTTTTTGTGCTTGACTGTGCTCTCTCCCGTTCGAGAAGAACACACTCCCACACCTGTTTTTGCCAGCACACACACAGCCCCACTGAAATACATGTTATTCATTTATTTATCTTCGGATTGATGAAATAATTCTTTACTGTGAGAAACAACTTACAGTTAATAAGGAACAGGCTCGGCCTACACACTCCACCAAACAGGCCTTCGTTGTTACTGGAAGATCGCTAGCCTTACTTTCTGCATTTCTGTCCTCTTCTTTACGGCACTGCTGCGAGCCAGTTTTAATAGATCTGGTTCATGGCTCTTCTGCTCACTGTGCCCTAATGCACAGTAAAGGGGCTGCTTTACGATGAGCCAGCAGTCTGCATTGGATGAATTATCAAGCAGGATAAGCCAAGCGGTAAAGTCGTATTTTCTGAAATTACCCAGATACCAGATTGCCCAAACCCTGGCTGCAGAGACATCAACTCTGAACTAGACTTAAACACTCGTTTTCACTTTTGACCCATGCAAAATGGGGATGCAGACCTGATGCCAGAAATTCAAGGACAGAGTGCCATTACGGGCCAAGCACAGGAGGCCTGCATCTGGTTTGCTGTGCTTCTCAAAACTCAACACAAAACAAATCACTTTGAAACAGCTAGCATCTCATAAAACAGCAGATGGGAAAAAATAGAAGAAAGTGCTGGCAGGGAATGGGGGAAAGGAGAGGAAAAGAGAAAAATACCAAAAGAAACAAAAACAGAAAGATGAGCTGCAGAAATGAGGGGGAGACTCAGGGAGAAGACGATGACAGCACTAACTTCTGCTGCGTTAGTTACTGTTGTTTAACTCTGGACCCTGGTGCATCTGTTACCCAGTCAGATTAGCCCCAGAGTTTCCTTAGAACCAGCCAAAGTCATGGCCCTAGGTTCTAACGGTTAGGTAAACCAGAATTTTCTGTTCAACCTCAGATGATCCCTTAGTTGTATGTCACTTGCATAAATACATATGCTTGTTTTAAAAGGCTCCAACTAGATGCTAAACGGCATGATCCTGCTGGAGTGATTTTCAGATCCAGTGTCCAGGGCTCATGTCTGGATGGTGGGCTCCATGGCTGACTTGCAGGCCCTTCTGGAAACCAGCCTGTCCAGAGCTTAAAGTGTCTGAGTGGTTAGAAGTGGTGGAAGGTCTACATTCCCAAGTGAGCCCCTAAATCTGAGCAAAGCAAGATGAAGCCAAGGCCTAACCATGCTTCCTCCTACTCATCTGAAAGGAACTTCTCAAACCATCGACGTGCTGTGCATTCATTACCCACATCCTTCCCAAACACTCCGTTGATATTTTGAGCTGTCTGTGCCGCACTGGTTCCCGATGAACTCATATTCGAAAATAACACGAATTTTTGACTTATCCGTGGTTTCACAAAAATTGCTCTAAAAAATTTTTTTGAAAGATAATCACAAGCCAAAATATGGATTTGAAAGAATGAGGATGTACTTTCACAATAAAAATAAACTTAGGAGTGTCAAAGTGAAATGTCAGATATATCAACTATAAAGCATAGTACTTTTAAAGAAATTGGACATTTCATATTTAATAAACTAATAGAATGACCATATTATCCAGCAGTTCCACTTCTGGATATATACTCAAAAGAAGGAAAGCAGGGACTTCAAGAGATATTTGTGCACCAATGTTCATGGCAACATTATTCATAATAGCCAAAAGGTGGAAGCAACCCAAGTGCCCATCAGTGGGTGAATGGATAAAGAAACTGTGATCCATACATGCATTAGAATATTACTCAGCCTTAAAAAGAAAGGAAGTTCTGACACATGCCACAACATGGAAGAACTTTGAGGACATTATGCTAAGTAAACTAAGCCAGTCACAAAAGGACAAATACTGCCTGATTCCACTTATATGTAGTACCTAGAGCAGTCAAATTCATGGAGACAGAAAGTAGAGTGGTGGTTGCCAGGGGCTGGGAACAGGGAAACAGGGAGTTGTTTAGTGAGTATGGAGTTTCAGTTTTACAAGATGAAAGGAATCCTGGAGACAGATGGTGGTGATGGTTGCACAGTGGTGTGAATGTTCTCAACACCACTGAACTGTACGCTTAAAAAGGGTTAAGATGATAAACTTTATATGTTTTACCACAATTTTCTTTAAATGCATGCGTTCGGACCTCAATGGCAGCTGCTAGGATAGCAGCACATCCTAAGTGGCCACGCGCACAGAGGGCAAAGGGCAAAGACACACTAACCCCTGGAGTGCCAAGACTGTGGGAACTATGGGATGCTGCTTCCCCATGTCCCCATGACAACAGTGCACACACTTAAAGGAAGCGCGCTGTGATTGGCTGGTGAGCAGCAATTGTGTCCTTTGTGAATGTACATTTCCACGATTCTTGTTAAGGTGTTGCCAAATATCTCTTTGAAGCATCCTGTCATTTATCACATCTTGAAGGGTTTCAAGGAAATAGGCAGGCTTCATTCTGCATACCTGGGATTTTTCTTTAACTAGCAAGGCTTTATTTTCACTTCAGGTTGAGATAGTGTTTGTTTGCCTGAAAGACTGTGTGGAAACTATGTGTGATTTTTTTTTTTTTTTGAAGCTGTTACTGCTATAAACATACAGCATTGAAAGTGGAAAATTTAAATCCAAGAGTGCAGAGTGTCTCTCCAGAGCCTGGTTGTATTAAACCAAAGTTAGAGGGGCTTTCTTGAGGCAGGGGTCCCCAAATGTTACTGTAGAACACATGAAATGTAATTCTACCTTGGATTAAAACAGACAGCTAAAAATGTCAGAGGCAAATTGATTTCTAAGATTAAACCCTATGAAATTGCCAGCATTCAACCACTTCTAACCTGTAAGATACGTTTAATGTAATGGAAGACGTAATTCTTATTCTGGAGCCTGAGGCAAGAGGATTGCTTGAGCCCAGGAGTTTGAGGCTGCAGTGAGCTATGCTGACACCACTGCACGCTAGCCGGGGTGACAGACCAAGACCTGTCTCAAAAAAAAAAAAAGAAAGAAAAGAAATAATTCAAATTTGACGTTATAGAATTAATTGTCAGTCAACATTGAACAATCAGATAATAAAAATAGCTCACCTTGGGAGTGTTTTCCAAGTACCAGGCCCTGGGCTCAGTCTCTGCCTTGATCATCTCATTGAATCTTCACAGCAGCCTGATGAGGTAGTGCCATTGGCATCATCCCATCTTTCCAGAGGGGGAGACTGATACATAAAAGGGTGGCCTCTAATACGTACAAGTGGGAAGTGCGGGGTCCACATTCATACCCAGGCCCTCCAGCCGGGACCCCTCACCCTCCAGCCTGATGCCTTGCTGCCTCTCACACATCTGTGTCGAAATGAAACCTGCAGACACAGAGCACAGGCCCACTCCTGCCTTGTGGCCTTCTGTTGCTACACGATGTCTGTACCTGGGCCCATCAGATGCCCTGCACCATGTCCCAAGCTGTCTTAAGGGCACCTGAGATTTGCTTTGATCACACATGGTAAAACACAGGCACAGCAATGACGATCGTGAAAGGAGAGCTTTGTCCTCACAGATCCCTAGAAACAGGGGACACAGCCTGCCACACAAGGCCACGCCGGGAAGTGCCAGCGTTGGTCGGGAGGTAGAGGAAGCCGGGAGGGTGGGCAGGCTTAGGGTTGGCGAGTTTGAGTAAGTTCAGTGGACTCTGGGATGTTGGGGATGCCCCTAGTTACCTGGTGCCTGCCCTGGGTTGATTAGGGCAGGGGACAGGGACCCAGAGTGTGAGGGCCTGGAGGAGGAGGTGGCTGGGGTGGGGACTCTAGATTGCTCAGTTTGCATATGAAAAATACACCAGAGGTGAGCTGTTTGCCATCTCTAGGAATTGGCTAGCCCCGGGAGCGGCAGTCCAGTCCAGAGTCACCAAGGCCTCAGATGTCAAAGCATCAAATCCAACAACTAGAAAATGTGGCTGCTATACAAGCCACCCATGCGACTTCCTTGAGTTCCCACGTATGACACATGACACATGTGAAAAAATATGTAAAAGTGTAGAAGAGACATGACCGCTAATATCAGTTGTATTTTACTATAATACTTGTTCACACCTCAGAGAACTAAACAGGAAACCCCACTTAGGTCCATTACTATGAAAAGTCCTAACATTTCTGTTAGGCTGTTTAGTTGATGGAGCATCACCTGCTACATTTTTATTTGATGCCTGCCATATTTTATAAATAATGGAATAGAAAGGACAGCAGCCCACTCATCTGTGGACTCACTGTACCTCTTCCTGGGCCTGGCACATAAATAAGTGCCCAATAAAAGTAGGTTGAGCTAACCTGACACGCGGAGATCTGGGTCCTGGCACACAGCAGGTAGCGGACGGAGCAGGGCTCAGACCACAGACTTGGATTCACAGGGCAGTGATGCTTTTGCCTGGGAGCTGACAGGGCTCTCCTTGGCTAACTCCAGAGTACATTCCAGGGATATACTAGTGGCTTTCAGGAGGGCTCCGGCCACTTCTTTGGCCTTAAATCCAGAGTGGAGATCAAATACAGGCTGACACATGCTGGATAACCTGGAGAATGTAACTTCTGGTGCCTTGGGAGTTGTCCACCCACACTGACGGCCTCTGAAGCACCAGTGTGTGGCCGGGGAGGTTCATCTGTGGCCTCTGTTGACTCCCCAGTCTGTGCCCTGACCCTCCCCTGCCCTCCCCCTACCTCAGCTCCCTGGGTGCTTAGAGGCCAGTGGTCCCCTTCCCTGCCGTCCCTACACAGGTCATCACTCAAGTGGTGCCCCACAGGCCCAGTCTGTTCCTGACACGTTCCCTTCCAACCCTGGGGATTATCTGATCAACAGATTTGGCCCA